ACTGTCATATACTTCAGACAGTAATTAAACAAAACTAAAATGAATCTCATTACACTCAGACGCTGCAGTTAACACATCTCTGATATCCTTGTCCACTCCTGATGTTGAGTGTCAGCTTACTGGTAACTCGGAGCAAAATAAAAACCAATTTTTAATCACATCTGTAATCCAGTCTGTAGTCATACATTGCCACTTCAAAGGTGACCTGATAAAACTGACAAAGAATTTTCATGCAGAATTAAACCCAGTAGGCTTCAGAACATTGAGGATGATGTATGGAATAGCATTTAAAATCTTCACGTTCTGAGACTACCTGAACGTTCATTTTTTGAAGGGCAAATGGAATCGTTTTAATTCAGTTTTTTTAAAGCAAGACAAAGCTGCACAAGGCTGTTATCAAATGAATTACCCCAAAACAATTCAGAACAAGCTATTAGTACTTGGTGAGAGTTCAGGTTTTCATGGCGATGAGTATGAAGCTGGCTGTCTTCTGGGATATTGCACCATGTAAGTACATGGTACAACAAACCAAAAAACAGCCATCTTCATACTTGCACTTCGGTTGGCGGTTGTCATTCCGAAGACTGCTTGGGAAGACAAAGACAACACTTCTGTTCATGAACGTAAGGTTTTATTTAGTCATAAATCTTCACATCTGTCTTATATACAGTATATTAAAATTACTGTTGAATGTTATAGGGCAGAGGTTCCCGAAGTTTGTGGCACGCCCCCCTGGGGGCCATGTTGTTTGTATGAAAAACTTTTTTTAACGAAATATGGAGAAACATTTTTAAAATCCTTTGCTTGGTTGAGGCAGTTTAGTTGTCTTACAGTGCTGTAGAATTCAGACTCATACAGGATCGGTGGTTTTAGGAAGTAAACGGCAATATAAGTCTATTTACAGTTAGGAACCCATCCCACTAATCCAGATACAAAGCGTATATTTTATTACAGTTTTTTAAATTAAATGCATTGAATAATACATACTAAATTATAAATAAATGTACACTCATAGCTCAATTTTATGTCAAATCTGTTTGCTTGCACTTGTTCTGGAAGGGGGACGTGAAATTTATGAAATGTTTTAAGGGGGGACACAAGGTAAAAACGTTTGGGAACCTCTGCTATAGGGGCTACACTATACTGCTTTAGTGTGCTTGTATTAACAGTTTTATTGTGTAGCAGCAAACTGCCAGGCCTGCCATTTGCATGCACTGTTTGGAAGGATACTGCTTGTGGCAAAATGAAAGACACTTCGAACCAAACTGTGCTGACCTGTGCAAGACTGGGGAGCTTTACTCAAAATACAGAGGTCTCTTCTCTGCAACCTCATCAGGAGGGAAATGAACAGGTCTGTCAGCTTTTTATAACTATAAACTAGTGGTCAACAACTTTATCACAAGGAAAGACTGAATAGCATTTTAACCACAGAGACACCTCCAAAGCATTCCACGTCTTCCCCTCATTATACCTGGCTATGTATGGAGCAGGCAATTTAACTGTGGTAACAAGCCTCCTGACGCATTTAACCGGTGGACCTTTTCTCAACATGTCATTTTATACAAAGCCAAAATTTTATGAAACCCTCAAGGCTAGATCCGTGGCTTACACACAGTGCAAAGTGTAAATGTGCACTCTAAAATTCTGCCCTTAAAGCACAACGGAAGAATTGCAAAAAATGATAAAAGAGGTAAACATATTTGTAGATATTTTAGAAGAAATATTCACAACAAATTTGGAAGTTAACACTAACTGATGCAGGCAGTAAATTACTTTCTAAAATTACCAATGGAAGAGTCAATAAGGCCTAAAAATCATTCACAGGTTGAATGTAGGAAGATATTTTACCCACTATGAAATTAAACAGGCAAAGCCCATTCATCCACCTGATTAAGATACGCAAATGAGGTAAAGCCTTTTGAAGTGTTCAGTTTAGTGGCTAGGTGGCAACAGCTCCTTATTAATACTGTTATTTGTATTTGTTAATTGTAAGAGACTGAGCAGGGTAACCACCTTGTATTACAACACTGTGCAATGAATCAACAAGTTTTTTTAAAGATTTCTGTCTTCTTGGTTGTTGCACCGTGTAGCATGGTAGATGTTTACCAACATTTCAGAGGTCATACTGCTTCCGTTATCAGGGCGCAACAACCCATGAGACAGAAATCTTCATACTCACTGCTGTGAAAACCTCAAATCATAAAATTTTTTTGTTTGTAAGATTTGGAACTTCCATGGTACATGAATGTTATAAAATCAGTAACAAATCTAATGTAATTATAATAAATACCAATAAGTCACCATAGCATTATAATTTGTTGGTTAAAGAGGCATCTGATTACCTTTAAAGTTGTATGTATACCTAAATAAATATTGTCGATACGAGACAAAGTCGTAAAACCTTGCATACCCTGCAGTGTGATATAAATATATAAAATCATGCATACAAACAAAACTGTTTATACTTTGAAACTATACAAGTTCTCTGTTGCCCATCCCACAAATAGAATTAGATCTCATTGATTGTTTTAACCAATCAAACTTCTGAGGGCACTGTTGAGTGTCCAGTCCATAAGTACTCACAATTTGCTACACTGGATTAAA